GTGGGGGTGGAGTTTGGGGGTATAAGACGGGGAATTGGGGCACTAGCAGAAGAGAAAGAGCAACAGATGGGATTCCTAGGCCATTGGCTGTTTCCAGATATTCCCTTGGTAAGGGCTATTCCTTCAATTTCCTACCAGGGATTAAGTGACAGCCAGCTCTGATTTTTGAAAAAGAGAGTGCGGGCGGGGGGCACCTGGTTGACTCAGCTGGTAGAACATGCGACTCTTGATCTCAGGGTTGTGAGCTCCAGCCCCATGCTGGGGGTAGAGTTTACTTTAGAAAAACACAGAGTGAGGCTCACAATAGGTCCCAAAGAGAGGAGAAAGAGAGAGGAGACAGGAAGCTGGCTTTGCCTGGGCTCTGGGTCCCTCCTACACCCGCAGATACAGATGCCCATAAAGTAGCTCAGGTGTCTCCTACCCTATTCAATAGTCACATTTTCTCCCTAGCTTCTTACTACGTCTTTCCCCTCCTCTTCAAACTTCTAACGGTTTCCCAGTGTCCTGTTTTCTGTTTGATTTCCTAACTCACCACCACTTCGGCCCACTGCAATCCTGGGTGGTTCACACAAACATCCACGGTCACAACAGTGGACACCGCTCGGTTCTCCCCTATGCTCCGTCTTTGGGGGCACCAGGTATGCACCCCCACCGGCAAACCTGCTTGCAATTCTTTCCATCCTCCTCTGATGGCACTCTCTCCAGGATCCTTCCTCAGCCCCATTGGGCCCTTTCTCACTGGATCCTCCTCCCAGCCCACTCCAACACTGTGGTCTTCTCCTGGGCTCTCAGCAGCCCTTTGCTCCACACGCTGCTCTCATCCCCCATCTGTGTGCTGACAACCACAGATACACGTCCAACCCTGTCTTCTCCCTTCAGTGCCAGACCAGTCACCTAGCTGGTGTGGAACATCTCCTTCTCCCGAAGGTCCCCCTGGAAACTCAAACTGGAGTCTGACCCTGAAAGCCTTGTCTTCTCTCATTGGTGGTGTCCATCGTGGTTGGATGAACCAATATCCTCCCAGATCCATGCTTGGCCTCCACACTCCACATCCACTTCTTCCTCAAATCTTTTATGAACTCATCCTACCTGTTGCTGTCATATCCAAGGGTCTCAATTTTTCTGCTGGATTAACACAGTTCAACTCATCTTTTGGCCTTGCTTGCACACCTAGTCCCAGTACCAGAACAATCAAACATGTCAACATTGCCACGCATTCTCCTAATTAAGGTGTTCCAGTGGCTCCCCAGATATTTCTAGAAGATTGAGTCCGAACTCCTTGACTTGACCTTTACAAGTTGGCCCTTACAAACTCTCCCACCACCTTGCCCTTCAGACACAGAACCACTTGTACTCCTCCCAACCTGTGCAAAAGCTATCCCCACTGCTTCAAACCTTGCCCCCTTCTTACCTGGGAAATGCCTGTTCATTCAAGAAACTTAAAAATCTGGGGCACCTGGGTGGCTCAGTGGGTTAAGCCTCTGCCTTCAGCTCAGGTCATGATCCCAGGGTCCTGGGATCGAGTCCCACATCGGGCTCTCTACTCCACAGGGAGCCTGCTTCCTCCTCTCTCTCTCTCTGCCTCTCTGCCCACTTGTGATCTCTGTCAAATAAATAAAATCTTTAAAAAAAAAAAAAAAAAAGAAACTTAAAAATCTAGGTTTGTAGATTGTATAATTGTTATATGATAATAACATAATTATTTCTTGCCTCCTTCTCCTACAAGACCATCAATTTCATAATGACAGGGTCCAGTGCTTACTCATCTTTCTATCTGTTCAACAAATACTTGCTGAGAGCTTAAAATACTCGGGCACTGCCGCTGCTGTACTGATTTAGAATACGTACAGTCATTCCCCCCTGCCTTGTCCACAGCTTCACTTCGTGCAGTCAACTGCGGCTTTCTGGAAGCAGATGATCCTCCTTCTGTCATGTCATCAAGAGGTCAGCAACAGCCTAACGCTATGCCCCAGTGTTTACATCATTCACCTCATCACACAGGCCTGGTACCATCTCACATCATCACAAGAAAGGTGAGTACAGGACAGTAAGATACTGTGAGAGACAGAAAAACCACGTTTGCTAGTTCTATTACTGTATATTGTTGTAATTGTTCTATTTTATTAGTAGTTATTATTGTTAACTTCTTACCCTGCCTAATTATAAGTTAAACTGTATCTAGGTACTTATAGGAGAAAAACATCGTAAATAGTAAATACAGGGTTTGGTCCTATCTGGGTTTTCGGGCATCCACTGGGGGTCCTGGAATGTGTCCTCTGCAAGTAATGGGGGGGGGCACTAGCATGCAGACTTTGGAGTCAGAAAGGTCTGCGTTCAAATCTTACTTCATTTGAGCAAATTAATGTCTGTCTTAATCTCCTTATCTCTGAGAATGGGAACTGTAACAGTAGGAACTCCATTATCTGAGGTAATTAGAGCTGTTAATCAATTAACAGAATATGTCAGGTGAAGCTGAGAACTGTAGGAGGGTTCCTGTGTATCTGACACAGGTATTCTCACCTCAACCAACACACTCATTCACCAATCTCTGGACATAGGCCTAGGTCTTTCCTTTGGGTAGGGGTCTGCTGTCCCGAGGCTCCTATCCCATCCCTGCGTAAATCAAACCTATCATGTCTTGTCATGTTCAGCTTTGGGCACCTGGGTGGCTCGGTCTTTAAGTGTCTGCCTTCAGCTCAGGTCATGGTCCCAAGGCCCTGGGATGGAGTCCCTCATCAGGCTCCCTACTCAGCGGGGAGCCTGCTTCTCCCTCTCCCCCTCTGCTACCCCCCCAACTTGTGCTGTCAAATAAATAAAAGCTTAAAAAAAAAAAAAGGCAATTTGCCTCTGTTGAGTCTTTCCAGAGAATTCTTCTCACATTTACCAACACCAGGTTAGGAAGCGGAGCTGGTGTGCTGAATCAAGATTACGTAGGGTATGACCTGCTGCAGGAGGGGGCACAAGCCACGCACACGGGGTCAGCAGGGAGCTTCCTCAGCACCCATGCTCCCCAGGGCTGTTCTGATGGAAGGTGTAGTTTCAGTGCGCTCACACAGAGGAAGTGAAGTCACAGGATTTGTTGCTTACACATCCCAGCAATAGGGCCAGGGGCAACAAGCTGGGGTGAGGGTAGCTCTCCATGCCAGGTCATGAGGGAGCAGGAGACAGAGAGCAGGGTGGCAAGCACCTATTATTTTTAAGGAGCGTTGGGGAGAGGTCACTAACTTCTCATGGGCCTGAACCTAAGTGGTTATTTTATTTTTATTTATTTAATTTTAAAGATTTTATTTATTTATTTGAGAGAATGAGCCTGAGAATTGGGAGGGTCAGAGGGAGAAGCAGACTCCCTGCCGAGCAGAGAGCCTGATATGGGACTCGATCCCGGGACTCCAGGATCATGACCTGAGCCAAAGGCAGTCGCTTAACCAACTGAGCCATCCAGGCATCCCTAAGTGGTTATTTTAAAAGGTACCCGGGGAAAAGCAAAGCAGGAACTCACAGCAGAATCCCTAAACAACAGTCCTTAGCTAAGTGTCCAGATTCTGGGCGTGGGTGGTGGTGTCCCCCATAAAATGCCCAGGCATCTCCTCATAACACCTGTTTGGCACTCAGATCTCACTGGAGCACGTGCTACGGAGTGGGTCTGTGTAAATCACAGTCGGCAGGGCCGCTGCCAAATCCAAAGAACAGAGAGGACTCCGGCGGACACCAGCTCTGCGGGTGGAGCTCAGGTGTGCCTGAGCAGCCGAGTGGTGAGCGCATCAATCATGTCATTCTGTACTGTTTTTTGAGGCTTTGATATCTAGGGCCTCATTGATCCCGGGGACTGCCTGTCCCGGAGCTAGCCAGTTCCTAGAGAGAGGAACTAACGCACCGTGAGCACGCCTTTCACGCCACCGATCCGGAGCCCAAAGTTCTGCTACCTTCTCCATCAGGGCTCCCACTCAGGACCACTGTCCCCCGCCCTGCTCATCTCAGGACCAGGTACCAGAAAACAAAGGACAACCCCTGCACCCCAGAACCCACTGAAATGATCCAGATGAATCATCCCTAAGCCTGAGGGCCCTGACTCACCTGTCCTTCCCGTGAAAACCACAAAAAAGGCTGCTGCCCATCCTTTACCCTCCCTCTGCCTCCTGATGGCCACTGGCCTTTCCTGTGTGGCCTCCCGGACTGTGGCACGGTGTGCTCCCTCCTCTTGGAATCTATGAGGAGAACACTATCTTTGTTCTGCTATCCCTGAGTTACCCAATAACAACAAAACCTGTATTTTAAAAAACAGGGTGCCACACGCCCTGGGCTGTGGGTCCAAGGAACGGAGCAGCTTCTCTCTGAAGATCCAGCTGCATGGAGAGCAGTGCATGGATAGGCCGCATGGACCTTTTACATGTCCGGAACTGCCAATCTCTCAGCCAGGTTAGAAACTAGGACACAGCCCCAGCCCCTGCAGACCTCACCATGAGAGATGCTCCCTGCCCAGGACATATACAGGGCCCACAGTGAAGGGGGGCGGCCAGCAGGGAATCAGGGTTCTCAGTATTCTCTCCTGTGTGGGCTCTGGAAGCTGGTGGCCCGTGAAGGAACACTGTCCTTACATCACAGGGGATGGCACCTCCTGGACCAGTTTGGCTCCAGACTGGGTCATGAGTCAGAAGAGCCACTGTGCTCCAGTCATGATACGGTCACAGAACCTTGGGTGTCTGTTTCCTCAGCCACAGACAGGAACAACATCTAACTTCCCGCTTTCGTGATGAAAGACCCGTAAGGTCATGAGAATTCACCGAAGAACGAGGAACTGTGCTAGGTAACAGGACCCTGGCCCACAGCTTTCTGCTGGGCAGGGCAGCTCCTGTTAAATCCACTCAGGGAGAACCTCCAGCGTGATGCCAGCATTCAGAGAGCCTGGAAGGTGCTGGAGATGTCCCCTGGAATTCAGCCATGGTCCCTCACGCAGAGGAAAAGAAAGGGCAAGGAGACCAAGATCAAGTTCCTCACACAACTTCAATTTAAATTAAACTTCCTTTAATGAAATAAAAAACAGATGGTGCATTGCATAATATTTGTGGTCACAGTATAAAACAATACAATTAGTTCATATAACATCGGATATGGACAAAAATACACAAGACCCTTTCTTTGTCTACGCGAAATCCGGCAGATCCTTATGTGCCACGCTAAGAAAGACAGAAAGTCACCTTTTTTTTTTTTTTTATCTTAGTGATCTGCACACAATATTTATCACTGAGAATTTGCTCCAACAGCAGAGGAGAACTTACCCAAATTCTAGTTCCCTTCTTCCTCTGTTGTCCTCGGTGAAGCTAAAAAAAGAAAAAGTTTTCTGAAAGTAGCAAGTTGTGTAGTATTGCTTATTATTCCTGCCAAAAAGGCTCAGTCTTTGGCTCACAGATGTCAGTGACAAAATCATAGCTGCAGACGGTCTGCAAAGCAAGAAGCAAGAGCCACGGGGGAAAACAGACAAGGGTCTGGGCGGCAGGGGCGCCATTTGCCAGGATCTTAGGGGAAAAGCCACATGGGTGGGGAGGGGGAAAAATACACAAATAAATAAATTTCTAAATTAAGATTTAAATCCAGTTGGTGAATCAGAGTTCCACCGTCCCATGAAAAAAATCTGAAAAGTTGTTAAAAAGTCAGAGTTTGTTTTTGCTTTTTTTTTTTTTTAAAGCAAAAAGTGTATGTAAACATTACAAAGTAAACAATTTAAAGTAATTTCAAGGCTTCTATCTGAACATAGCTTAGGCTCTTTCTGGGGGTATTTTTGTGATTAGGGAAAAAAAAAAACTTTTTAAAAAGTTTCTTTTTGTTAAGAAGTGCAATCTCATCCATGTGAATTGTGGCTAGGTTCTTCTTCCATTCCTACAAGTGCTTCTGGCAGGAACAACTTCCAGAAGAGCACTTTGTGGGGAGCCCTATTTGGTACAGTGACAGAGTGTATCTAAGACTTTTAAAAGGACACACATTCCAGGCCCTGGGATCTCTTCCTCCTCTGGACCAGCCCCTCCAGGCGACTTGCTGTTGGGCCGGATGATCAGAGGATGGGGTTGGGGGCCGTGCCTGAACAACCCCAGCCTTGAGCTACAAGGTCAGTTTGAAAGGAGAAGGTAGAGTGCATGAGCACAGGTTACTTCTCCTCCTGCCAAGTGTCTGCTGTGACCCATCGATGGTCTCACATCGACCTGGGGCGACCTGGTCACATGCACGGCTAGGTACCCTTTCCTCTACCAACGAGGGCTTGCACTACAATAATCCTGAATCTTCTTATAGGACTGATAAGTGTGTGGGCTCAAAGGGCACTGGTGTCACTAACATAGCACCTGTGAATAAGTGTTCTCTCTTTAATTCCCGTATATATAGTCACCTGTGACCCACCTCCTCTGACATCACATAGGCAAGAAATGACAGGTGGAAAAGACCTGAACCTAGCGCCTCAAGACCTCCCCCTCTTTCTCTGGTCGTGCTCTGTGCTCTGGTGGGGCGGATGCTGGGCCTGGATGCATCTGTGCCATTACTCTTAGCACAATGTCCACCATGAGGGGTCCCCTAGGTGGGCAGAACCAAAAGGGGAAGCTGGGTGGTGATCTGCACCCCCTCCCCTTCCTGGGGTGGGGGGAGGGGAGACTTGGTGACAAGGGCAGAATGGATTTGGGGCAGAACAGTGAGGGAAGTGGAGGGGACGATGGTGAGCTGGGGGGGGCGGTGGGGGAGTGTGGCTCGTCTGGCCCATTGTGACAAAGAGCCACACATGAATGGCCATCATTTTGTATGACTTTATTGCTCAAAACAAACGAATCTTTTTTTCCCTTGGGAAGACAGAGCAGTGTTAGACCCGTCAGAGCCGGGATAAAAGCAGAGAGGATTGCAATGTGGGCCATGAGTCACCAGTGGGCCTCAGAAAACCCCACTGGGATGCTTCTGAGAGGCCGGTGCTGTGCAGGGGCAGATGCCTTGGGGAGCGGAGGATCTCTTTTGGTCTGTGTCCTACTCCTGGTACGAGCAATCGGGCAAAACAGATTGCTCTCAGATCTACTTTGTAGGCTGTTCACGCGGCAGTAAATTGCTGGTTTCCTCCGTGCTCCTACCAGGAAAGCAAACCTATCACAAAGCATACTCTTCCTCGCTAACCCCCTGCAGGGGATCTTACAAAGACTTGAAGGACTGAAAAGGTCATGGAAAATGCATGGTTTTCTTCCAGGTAATTTCTGATTCTGTGAAGGCAGACAGTCTTGCAAACAGCAACACACCTTCACGTGAAGGAGCCCAAGCAGCCCGTGAAGTACATGGGGCATCCGTGGGGGCCACAGGCGGTCCCTGGGTGGCCAAAGCCTCTGCCGCCCACAAAGGGCGGGAAGGGGGGACGGGGACAGCCCCGGCACCACCACCCCACCCAGCATGAACTGCGGACATCTAACTCCCAGGACCCTCTTCCCCTCTCCCTGGGGCCCCCTGAGGCACAGTAGCCTCGGAAGCACTGCAGTGAGTGCCTCCTTCCCTCGTTCCCCAACGTCCCCCTCCTTGAGGACCTCCTTATTGCCCTGGACAGAGGTGGCTGTGTATTTTTCTTCATATTCATACTCATTCTTAAGGCTAAGGTGGCAAGATAAGGTGCTTGGTGGAGAGCCAAATTCTAGATTCCAGGGCCATGTCAGGGCCATGTCAGCACGCTCGCATAAAAGCAAATACCAAAGAAATGGAAAGGGGGCAGGGAAGCATTAAAATTTTTAAAAAATTAAAAAAGAAAGAAAAAAAGAAAAGCATTTGGGCTCAGTAAGAAGTTACATACTGCAAGTTTAGATTTCAAATGTCGTCTAAACCCCTGAAAATCCAGGGTGGGTAGGGTGGTAAAAGCCACCAGTTAGCCTTCAGCACAGGCCTGTGTGGGGCAGAGGGCGGCGCCGGCAGCGCTCCTAACACAGGCCCCCCACGTGGAAGCTGGCTCCCAGCGGGCGACTCCGTCCTCCCCCCGCCCCAAGACAAGAACTCTGAGAGCCATCATCCTTCCTCCCCGCAACCCCTCGAAACCAAACAGACGAACACACACAGGTCAGAGATCTATAAACTGGCAGGAGAAAAAAATTAGACGAAAGGGGTAACCATTAAAAAGCCGCAGCTGGGAAAACACACGCGTGATTGTTCTACCAGAAAGTGCCGTGGGGAGAAGAGCCGTGTGCTGGTAAACGTGTCCGCGCTCAGGACTGGACATGCAGAGAAGAGAGCGCGCCAGGTCCCACCTGAGATTAGAGAGGACTGGGTTTGAGTGTCACACACTGCACGTGAAAAGCTTGCTGTCCTCTTCCCGCCCCGAGGGCTCCGCCGCCGGGCCAGTGGCCGCTCCCTGGCGGGGCCCTAGTCCATCTCCATGGACATGAGCCGGCGCCGCTCACGCCTCGTCTCCTGGACCTCCTTCTTGCAGCACCAGTGCGAGCTGCAGTACCCGATGAGGCAGGACAGGAGCCCGATGACGGTGGACAGGCCCACGCCGATCAGCAGCGGGTACTTGAAGGCATTCAGCACTGGGAGGGACAGAGCAAGGGGATTCCAGGTCAGTGGTGCTGGAGGCAGACACCAGAAGCCCACTGCCTGCCCCCCTCCCTCCCCACAGGACAGGTAACCACCCCCCAGAGGACTGTTTTTTTTTTTTTGTTATTTTAGGTTAGATTATAATCATCTGAAGCACAGGATAACCTAGAAGTGAAATTCCATTCTGGTACAACCACCCAGTTTCTAGAAAAGAGAAAGGAAAGAAAGGAAGCAATACAATAGGAGCTTTTCTGATCAGAGACTCCGTTAAAGAAGAGGGTGGTGATGCGAACCCACGTGATTTTTCAAGTCTTCCTTCTGTAGTCATGAGGATGACCAGGTTTGTGCTGCAAACAAGCCAGCACCATGTGGCTACTGCTCTGATTGTTCTTAGATGAATGTGTATATAAAATAATATCTTCATTTAGTTTATAAACATACACAGTGCTGTCCCTTTCAAATTAAGGAAAAAAAAAACCACACACAAATACTGCAAAGTAGCAAAATACAAGGGGGAAAAAAGCTACTTTTGGTTTTGGCAACATTAAAAAAAAAAAGAAATACAAAAAGCAATGTGGCATTGGTCCCTGTTTATTAAAAAAAAGGTACTTGGGCACGACACTGAATCAGAATTGGTTGGTTTTCTAAAATTCAGAGTATCTGGGATATCTAGCACAGTGCTCTTGGAGACAGGAGCACCCTTATCTATGCAAAAAGTGAACAGATCACACCCCACCCAACTCTGTGGGGGAGAAACAAAAAAACAGGAAAAAGAATTCATTCGATGTCTTTGAATGTCAACTTGCTTTTTAGGGTTTTGGCAGGAGATGGATTTTTAAAAGTCAGGATAAGGGCATCGCACATACAGCAGCAGATGAAGCCTTAAAAAAACGTTCATAAATCAATTCTCTGCATCAAATAACTGAAGTGTACTCGGGGAGCTATTTTAAGTAACACTATAGTAAATTATCTAGCAAAGTGAATAATCGCTCCCTTGTTTGGGAATCTGGGTCTTCGTATGGAGCTACTCCATGCGAGGAATTTCTAAGATGCAAATAGGGTCTAAGTGATGAAGTTTCAGGAAGGCACAAACACCGTACAGATAGCATGCATTCAAATCCCAAGTCTCTTCTCCCAGACGCACCAGCCCTCCTTGGGCGGATGCTGGCACGCCAACGGCTGCCTGACATTTCACGCGGTTCACCTTCCGGAACAGCCCGACGCAAGATGGTTACCCCATTGTACGAAAGAGGAAACAAAGGACCACAAAAGTGAAGTCATCTGTGGACAAGCTGGGGTTTCGATTTCAGTCTCCCACAAACTGACAGCCCATCAGAGAAACACATTCCAAGGCCGCTCCCAACCCTCGGAGGTGCTGGGGCTTTAACGCTCTCCATGGAATTTCCCTATTAACATTGACTCTGAAGCTTTTCACAGAGAAGACCAGTGTCTCACTAGCCAAGGAACAACTGGCCCCACTCTGGGATGTTTGGGGAACAGAGGGGTGGGAAAGGGGCCCTCTGACAACCGAGTTAGAATGAGTCTGGCGCCAAAGCCCCCTTCCCATCTCAGGGGCCTGGAGAAAACCCCGTCTATGCTAATGACAACAGGCGGAGTCTCCCTTGTCCAAGAAGCAAAACCAGGAGGAGGACAGGAGGGGCAGGAAGCCACTCACTGCCTCCGCTGGGGACCTGAACCCACTCTCTCGATGACGTTCTTTGCCTCTGCCTGGCAGAATCCAGGCCAACCCTCTGACAAGGAAAGTGGGTTTGCACAGAAGTTAGAGAAAGCATCAGAAATCTCTCTGGAGGGGCGCCTGGGTGGCTCAGTGGGTTAAAGCGTCTGCCTTCGGCTCAGGTCATGATCCCAGAGTCCTGGGATCGAGTCCCACATCGGGCTCTCTGCTCGGCAGGGAGCCTGCTTCCCCCTCTC